GGCATCCACTTCCATAATAGCTTGCCTCCGGAAACCCTATGAACCTGGAGAGAGGATGAACGGCACCCAAGTGCTGAGGACTCTCCTTCATAGGGTCGCTATGAGTCACCTACGACTCGATGGCACTTAACAACAACAACATATATATATGTGTGTATATAAGTATATATGTGTGTGTGTGTATATATAGTATACGTGTGTGTGTGTGTGTGTGTGTGTGTGTGTGTATATTCCTGTTTCTCTCTGTACTAGACAGAACAAATGACCCCTAACTTCCATTCCTCTATGGTTCAACCCAGTCTATAAAGTCACACTCGAAGATGTAAAAGTCCCGTAGGAACCTAGGGTGCTTCCCATGGCTGAACCGTCAGTTTTCTGTATAATTCTATGGAGAAGTGACTAGGTTAATACTACCCTAGGTCCTGGAGAATGTGAAACTGAGCTGCTCCCTGGAGGCAAGGATTTTGAAGCTCTGTTTCACATACTTTGAGTATATTGTGAGGAAGGACCAGTCCTTGCAGAAGGACATCATGCTTGGAAGGGTGGAGAGACAATGCAGGAGAGGAAGACCCCGGATGAGATGGAGTGACACGGTAACTGGGGTAACGGGGTTAGATGTGTCAGAGATAGTGAATCTGGCTCAGGATAGGACAGAGTTCAAAGCTATTATACTTAGGGTCCTATGAGTTGCAGGTAACTCTATGGCTCAGAACAACAACAAAGTATAAGAATAATGGGGGCTCAAGTGATGCTGTGCTTGAGTTCTCTGATCCTAAATAGGGTGCCAGTTTGCACCCACCTGCTTGCTGTGGTGTTTATGAAAAGTCCGGGATCCGCCATTGACAGCCACAACAATAAACAGCTATGTCTTGGAGAAAGGACAGCTAGAGTGTCCCACAGAGACAAAGATGGTGAAGCTTCCCCTCATACTGTGGGTGTGTTCCTAAGGAGAAGGACATCATTCTTGGAAAGCTGGAGGATCAGAGAAAGTGGGAAGACCGTCAAGCCGGAAGTTTGCCACTGTGACTGCAGGGATGGGCTCAGGCAAGTCCCAGGACAGGACACGGTTCAGAACTGTTGCTTGTAGGGTCGCTCTGAGTCATTGTCAGCTCAGCTGCACCTACAACAAAGATTTAGGGGGAGAAAACCTGTAAGGCGAGAATCTAAGGAGTAAACCCTAAGGGACAGCGCTCTCTGCACCCAGCGTGGGGTCGCTGTGAGTTGGACATGCATTCAAGGAGGGCTGACCAACAGTGTAAGAAAAGTCTCAC